GACCAACTAGCCTCAGAGTGATACTGAGCAGCTGTTTTAGAAGATAACACACACATCCCAATGTTAGCAATGGAAACAAGAGAAAACAAGGACAGTTGACTTTACTCTGCCAAAGATCGTTCATCATGGAAAAAAATATCAAAGTGCATTTCATACATGGAGATTGTTTCACGTCTAGTGACTGAGAACTCCTCTCTAGTGGAGCTGGGGGGCTGTTCGGACACCAACAACGGCCTTACTGTCAATCCTCAGCTATATTTCCATAAGGTGAAACCCACCGTGTGCCGTGCTGTATACATACGCTTGAAGACACATATGGCAGCAAACAGCTGCTGCCCCGTCAAGCGGTTCATATACATGGATGCACCATGGTACGTTGTCCACTGAGGAAGGTAGATGTGCCACGCTGAGCACCCGGGTGATCTTCACACACGATACTTTCCATTTGCGTTGACCTCTTTGAGTTACTGGGGTCCGTTTGCTTCATCACAGATCTCAATTCACGCCATCATTCCATTTCAAAAAGTTGTTTTGCGAGACACACAGGTCCTCTTAGGAGTTGAGAATATAGAGTCTGCTTTATTAGTTAAACATGTTAAAATAAATATGAGAGAATTATCTTGTGCTGGACGTTTGTGCTGTAAACACGACGCAGACATATAAGCTGATGTGACGAAGGCCAACAGTTGCCTCTAAACAAGAGTCTTGTCTTGTGTGTTCGTGTGTGTGTTTAGTGTTTGACGTACGTCCGACATTCCCTCTCTTTTTAGCTTTGTTTAGCTTTCCACAAAGTTCTGGAACATATCGGACTCTTTTATCTGCTAAACAGTGACGGTTGTAGGAATTCTTCACTGGGGTGGCCCAGCAGTTTTTTCCCTCGAAAAGCTGCATGCAGCTCAAGTGCTTGCACGTGTTTGTGTTGTTGCAGAGGGAGTTTTGTTCCTTTAAAAGGCAAAGCAGCAATGAACCATGCTGCACCCAAATGCTTCTGATGTGTAAGTTAATGGGATGCTGTCCATCAGTGGTCTGTAAGGACCCTCCCGCCCCCCTTGGTTGGGGGCAGAATTCAGTAAATCAAGAATGCAATCATGGCGTCAGCATTGTAGGAGTCGCATTTAAGTTTATGTATTTAAATACCTCATTTTTGTTCTATTATGTGTGTTTAAAAGCAAAGTGTTCCCCCTACAGTTGAGGCGGGCGCTCCTATAAGTTGGTGGGCATGGCGCTTAGTTGGAGGAGAAATGGGTTACAGCAGATACCGTCTTTGACCTCGGCCCCAGCCCTGTGATGGTGATCCAGTTCTGCAAAAACTAATGGACATTGAAACAATTGCATCTCATTATTATGTTGTATTTATACAACAATAAATACAAAGCAACAAGTGAACAGCAAACTTCTTCTGGGTTTTCTACTTGGAGGCAAAGTCAGACAAACTGGACCCGAACCCAGAGCGTGGTTAAAAACAATAGGGCACTAAATAGGGGCCAAAGGGAAGGAAAGGCCAAAAAAGGAAGACGACTGTGCCGCAACATTGACAAACCTAACATACCAACTGGGGCAAATGTACCGGAGTTCGTGTGGACCGAACCAAACATGTTAGGTGTGAAAGCGCCTCAAATTTCAGTTTATGGTCAGTTTGCTGATGAAGACTGGTGTGATATGCTCAAGGAATTGAGTTTACTCCCCAGATGCTTTAAACAAACCACCTTACCCTCTTTGCCACGGTGTTTGTGTTCAGCAGTACACATGGTGGTATTTTTGACTAGAATGTAAAATAAAAAATGCTCGACAATGTCCCACTGGAGAGATAAACTCAAACCTTGACTGCTTCACGTACACTGCGTGGCTGCACACAGAAATGTGGCTCTATTTAGCATCGGGCCCTGAGGGCCACCATTGTTAGACACTTACTCTCTTCTTAGTCTTTCTATCTGACATCCGTTGAGGGAAGTCGTGCCAGACAGACACAGACCCACAGAGTTAAAACCACCATCTGAAGTGTACCACTAACATATGGATAAGAGGCCGCAGTGCCCTTTAAAATAAACCTGGTCAACTGTAAGAAGATGATTGTGTAAGATCAACAACCCTAAACCGCTTAGATAAGAAAACAGAGCAGCGGTTCTACAGTGTGCGTAAATCCGTAGAGCTACTAGGAGGCTCGACCTCACGGTCCAGACCGTTCACTTCACAGTGAATGTAACTGCCAACCGGCTACAACCGTAAACGGTTGTGTCATGCCTCAAAGGAGGAGACGGGATGCGGGCGCTCAGGCCGATGGGGGGTGTTAGGGTTCATTTTGCTGCACGTGTCCTCGCTTGGGCTGCAGGCTCGCTGTGACTCACCAGAAGAAATCAACAATCCCCACCTAATCGATCAGAACATCTTAACCTCATCGCTGATAAAGCTTCAATAACAATGTGCGGGTTTGTTCGAAAGGAAAATAAACAAAGTGCAGCAGTAATCATTTTTACACCTTTATACTATTGTTGACAGTTCATTTAAGTTACTACTATTCTATTTTCTGTATATACTGTGCATTTTTATATCTCATATTATATATATATATATATATATATATAAATTAATTACCCACTGTTTTATTCCTCTGTCACCACATCAAATTACAGTTTACACCCACGTTTAATTCATAATTTTATCCTATTAGACATCCGTTTGATATTGTCACAATTGGCATAAGAATGCTTTCAGACTTAGTGGAGGCTAAAAAATTGTTTTGAGAGGTCCAGCCTTGAGTCCATGTTTGTGTCAGGTGTAATACAATTCCCTCCCTGTGCCCCTGGCCTAAACTACCAAAATCTGATCAGGGGGACTTTTGCACCAATTTTGATGAAATTCCCTTCAAGGGTAAGTGAGATATTGGGTTCTAGAGTGTGGACATAGTGAAAACATAAAGCTTCAGGGTGTGGGATAGAAATAAGCGAAAATGTACAGACTGAAATGTACAGAATAAAAAAGACTAAAATATGTCTAAACCTAAAAATAGCTGCCAACAACAAACACTGGACACCAGCCCTTCTTTCAATAGACCAAATGTATTGATCAGAGACACAGTAAAAAAAAAAGGCTTTTCAAGGTCCAATCCCTGGGCACGAAGAATGTGAAGAGGTAAAAGGCAGAGAAGTTGTGTTGTCTTCAAGCTACCTGGGTGGATGAGATCCGAGTAATAGCAAAATGACAGGACATAACAAGAGCAAAACTCTTTTTCCAATGAAACTGATTTTCAAATTGACATCTGAGACATGCGGCAGAAAGAACCGAAGCCTTCCACCACCTACAGTGGGGCAAAAAAGTATTTAGTCAGCCACCAATTGTGCAAGTTCTCCCACTTAAAAAAATTTGGAGCGGCCTGTCATTTTCATCATAGGTACATGTCAACTATGAGACAAAATGAGAAAAAAAAATCCGGAAAATCACATTACACATTATTGGTAGATTATGGTGGAAAATAAGTATTTGATCAATAACAAAAGTACATCTCAATACTTTGTTATATACCCTTTGTTGGCAATGACAGAGGTCAAACGTTTCCTGCAAGTCTTCACAAGGTTGTCACACACCGTTGCTGGTATTAGATGTGTCTTCCATTTTCTTATAATTGCTCCCACAGTTGATTTCTTCACACCAAGCTGTTTACCTATTGCAGATTCAGTCTTCCCAGCCTGGGAAGACTGAATCTGCAATAGGTCTGTTATTTTGTTTCTGGTGTCCTTTGACAGCTCTTTGGTCTTGGCCATAGTGGAGTTTGGATTGTGACTGTTTGAGGTTGTGGACAGGTGTCTTTTATACTGATAACAAGTTCAAACCGATGCCATTAATACAGGTAACGAGTGGAGGACAGAGGGGCCTCTTAAAGAAGATGTTACAGGTCTGTGAGAGGCAGACATTTTGCTTGTTTGTTATTGACCAAATACTTACACCATAATTTACCAATAAATTCATTAAAAATCCTACAATGTGATTTTATGGATTTTTTTTTCTCATTTTGTCTCTCATAGTTGACGTGTAGTGGTAAATGGTAAATGGACTGTACTTGTATAGCGCTTTTCTAGTCTTCCGACCAGTCAAAGCGCTTTAACACTACATGACATCATTCACCCATTCACACCCATTCATACACTGATGACAGGAGAACCACACACAGTGACACCTGCCCATCAGTAACTAACATTCATACGCTGTAGTCGCAGCTACAGGAGCAATGTTGGGTTAAGTGTCTTGCCCAAGGACACATGCGGGTTAGCCAGGACTGGGATCGAACCCACAACCCTCTGATTGGAGGACGATCGTGCTCCCCACTCACCCACAGTCGCCCCACAGATTCATTATGATGAAATTACAGGCCACTTCAATCTTTTTAAGTGGGAGAACTTGCACAATTGGTGGCTGACTAAATACTTTTTTGCCCCACTGTATGTGGTTACTATTGTTTTTTGGTCATGTGAGGAGAAATAAAAGGTTTGATAAGAGACTCATCAGCAGCTGAGACTGACCAACCTGGGATGTTTTCATAAAAAGAGCTGTGGTACATAGGATTCAAAATGTAGCGTCCTGCAGCCCAGAGTGGTGCACAGTACGTGTATTCAAATCTATTCTGAGATTCTCACAATCTAGCAATGAATGAGAAAGCTTCACAATGTACATCTGAGACAAAGCTTTTACCAACAAATGCACAGAATCACCTATTAGGTGCTACTAGATGCATTCACAGCGGTGACTCTCCAAATGTATGCATCTGTTTTCTGATTCCAAGGTGGAATTCCATCTGCTGATGTCGCGCGTTTACACTTTGATTCTTGTAGACGGTATCTCATAACTTCAGACGAGCTATAAAACCACGGCTCGGTAGACCACGGATCTCTGTCACGGGGGTCGGCATCGACCATATGTCGTCAGACACTCCTTCATTTCTAAATATGGGAAGCACATGAATTGCCTTGAGTGACAAACTCTTCAATTGTTGTAGTTCCATCACTCACCAGGTGGAGCGCGTGCACGCCTGCAGCCCGGGGGAGAGTTTCTGACTGTGGACACTGACCACTGAGTCCCTCCGTGTAGTGTTCGGGTTCGCGGCGTCCTTAATATCCACCAACTAGACGAAAGTTCACAGCACCTGAAGACACATGGAAGGAGAAACATTTGTCAACTTCAGTTTTAGTGCACACGTGTATGTATTATATGCGCTGTAGAGCATGTTTGTCTCCAGAAGGGTTGTGTCCTGCACAGGTCAGGGTTCATGACCTGCACACCCAGCAGAAGCTTGACCTTCCATTCACACACGTCAGAGGAAACACTGGCTGATGCTCGAGCTTGGATAATGTTACTGTTGGACAGCCTCTGTTTACACGCTCCATGAAAGCTGCTCACACGCACACAGACTGCTCCACTCCACACAGGCTGAGGGAATGTGCTACTAGTGGGGAAATTACAATTACACTAATTTATCAGAAGGATTATAAAACCCAACATTCCAAGCTCACGCTGCACCGCAAGATCGACAGCCGAGTTTGCAATACCACTACGGGTGCACAATTAATCAAAATGATATCAAATCCATGATATGGCCAGTTTTCAGATTTACAGGGTGTAATATTTGTGAAATGCGTAATGTGTGTTAATATTTTAAATGTAATATTATGGTGCTGCAGAGATGTACTGGCCTACACATTTATATTTAATAGTTATACATGTTTTTCAGCACAGCAACGTGGGATACTGTATGTCACAGCATCCACAGCAACTAACTGTAACTATGTGACCCAAAAGCAAGTTACTGAACTGGTTCATCCAGGACATTATATGACTGTTAAGACGGCAGTCTCATACACTTAACTGGTTAACTGAGGATTATACTGTGTTGCATGTGTTTAAACACAGATGTCCCCCTGTGGGAGCGTCATCGCTACCCCTAAAGAAAAATATGATTAGATGATACACATTTTCAAAATAAGTGTATCTAATATTGTTTTTATTTTTGGTTTTAAATGAAGGAATCATTTAAAACAAATGAGCAACACAAAATAGCTGAACATTATTCGGCTTAGTTTAACAAACGGGTTATTGAAAAAAAAAAAAGCTTTATTCCTCCATCATAATCCATCCATTATCTGTAACCGTTTATCTTATTCAGGCGGGTAGGGGGCCGGAGCCAATCCCAGCTGACATCAGATGGAACATCCTGGACAGGTCACCAGGCTATCGCAGAGCTGACCCCCCCCCATCATAATCCCCCCATGGTAGAATTTGACCAGATGCACCACTAAGCCCCAACTCCCTCCTGTTGGTCTGCTGCATCTGTCAGGGACACGGCGCTGCCTGATGATGTGTGGCCCAGATGTGGGCTCATCTGGCTGCCTGTGCATGTGATAAGCAGGTCGGTTCCATCATAAAAACACACCAATACTAAGATCTTACAATGCACAGTGGTGTGGCCATTATCCTCAGTAAAAAAGAACACGTAGAGTGATATTTCCAGCAGACATCGTGGATTACTGACTGTCACTTCTATCATGGGTGTTCCCATTAGTTACAGTTGTTTTTACATAAAATAAATGATTACTCAACTCATTGACTAGTTGGCTGATGGAAATTAATAAACCATCAAAGACATTTTTTGAGTGAAAAAGACAAATATTTGCATGTTGAAGCATCTCAAAAGTTAAGACTGGTGTTCATTCTGCAACTTGTCTTGCGTCATAGTGAACTGAATAAGCGTGTCATTGTGGAACCCTAATATTTTAGTACTTAATACTTACTCACTTGTCCCTTAGTCTTAGTCAAAATGCAATATATAATAATCCTCTTGATCTTTTACTGTCTTTTTAAAGAATTGTGACAAAGTTACATTACAACCGGGCCATTTTACAGTTGCTCTTTGGTGGACAAACAAATGAGGCATCTCTGTAATGCAGTGATCTGCTAAATCTGTGGAAGGGATGCATTTACCCAGAATGCACTTCAGCTGCCATGTGAGTAAAATTGGTTCATCAAAATGATGATTGCTACCTACTTGAAGGTATAACATGAGGCAAAGATGATTCGGATTTTACTTTAATCTCCGCAGAAGTCACCTGTTATTCTGACAAATAATCACCGGCATTTCTTTGTGTGGTTCTAGTAGAGAAGCATCTTTGTGCTAAAATGAAAGTATTAATAATAATAATAATAATAATAATAATAATAATACACCTTCTGTGAACTCTGCCCCCAGAGCCCAACCTGCGGAAACGTTAAGCACATACATACGCAACAAATAACTGCGTAATACATGTGGCTCAAAAGCGGCACGCGGTGACAACCGCGGGCGGAGCGCCGGGGACCCGGTGTTATCATCACGGCGCGTGAGACGCAAGAGAGCTCGTGACGTCACAACCCAATCCTGGACTAGCATAGCAAGCTAAAGTGATTCTGTTGGTAAGGACGTGTCACGGCAATGCGACACGCAGCATGCCGAGGGTAACAAGCTGCGACATACAAGAGGCACCGTTAGCTAGTTTATCGGTTTAGACACGCCAGCAGACGGGGAAGAATTATTTACGAGACTGGTTTCATTTCAACATGGAAATGAAGATGTTAGCTACCAACGTAGCGTTACATGTTAGAGAGTTGACCACAACGTAACACGGTTATCTCAGTAAGGGTTCGTACGAGGACACAAGCCAAAATAGCATCAGACCATGAAACGTCCTAACCTGTGTCACCGAATGTATCCCCTTCTTCATTTGCCGGTTAACTGCAGAGCGACTCTTGCAAACACATGGATCTCCAACAAGTGTCAGAGAGTGCGCGATTCAAAGATAGCATAAAGTGAGGATGTGCGGCGTGCGACAGAAACTGGCTCATTTTCCGTCACTGCTAAAATTTCGCTCACAACGTATGCGCTTGTTGGACAAGACAACAAGTTTGCCACCAGACATTTTTTTAAATGGAAGGTTGGTAGTGGTTGTTCTCAAAAACTGATATTTTAATTAATTGTTAATTGTGGTATCAGGAAAAATGAGTGGAGTGAGACCTCTGTCTTAATCTCTCTGCCACCGCGAGCGTAATTACATGACAGTTTCTTAATAGGATTCTGCCGCCATCTAGCGGACAACTATGGAAGGTTCGCCTATAGTGATTTAATCCATATTCACAAAACTGATGTTGCATTAACCAAAACCACTGCGACCATTTACAACTGTAAATTCTAATTGTAGCTTGCCCAGAAATTCCCATAAATCGCAAACAATAGAGATTGGTTATTTAGCTCCTGAGTCCCTAACCAAATTCAATCTTACATTTGTTTTATCTATCTTTGAACCATATAATGTTGGTGTGGGATTTTTATATTGACTTAATTGTATTTGCACACAAAACAACCCATATAATCCAGATAATTATTAATCTAACTAAATTCGATATCAAACCACACCAAAGTGGAAGGTAATCCAGCTACACAAACATATTCAATAAAATAGAACAAAAAACAGCAACATCAGGAAGCACGCTAATTATCTTGTGAGTCTTCAAAGAGAAACTTTCAGTTTGATTACCAATAGTGATTGATTGATACGTACAAACACATTTCTTCTTTCAACAGATTAAGCATGATCCCTTCTGGGCTTTGTGTATCCAGAGCTTCGATTCACTCAAGTCCTATTGAATGTCTGTCATGCTGTACACCAGCAGGTGGTGATCGAGCGCTGTGCTTTACAGTGCGTCCACATTGTGCTGCCCCTTCATCTCATGCAAGTTAAACCTGCCACAATGACATTTATCCCCTTCATTGTGTTGCATCCATCCCTTTCTGCACACATCTTTCTGTGCATGTAATCAGTTAAAAGATAAAATGTTTAAAGCCACATTTAGCTGCACAACACATGCCAATGCATTTTTATCAACTATATATACACATGTGTGTGTGTGTCTGAATTACAGGCCTTTTGGTCCTCAGATATGTTGCTGTGTTTTTTTTATTTTGGTTAAAGCAGGTTACCCCCACGTACCTCTGCCTTCTATTTAGATCCATATAATAAAGCTTAGTAATCCTCTCTGCCTTTTTGAGAGAACAACCACATTGCGCTGGATCTCACATATATGTATATATTTATCACCCACCCACCCCCACCTACCCTCTTCCTCCACCATACATCAGTCAGATCTGTCTCTAGATCTGCTCTCACTTTAATGAGTAGAGAGGTAATCAACAAGAAGTGATGCCAGACGTGCTAATAAATTCTGCATGAATACTTGCAGAGTATTGAAGGGTCAGAGGACTGTGCCTGTGACATAAAGCACACTGTCACATGCTTCTCTCACACGCCAATTTTTATTCCATTCGGGCAAAGAATGGATCAACATCAATAGATTTGAACATAAAAACATATATTATTTTACATGAATATAGTTGTGTTGTTTAGTTTGAAGACTTGTATTTAAATATTTGATTTTATCTTTTATTCTTATTCAGAGCATAACAATGAGTTATCATGGAATGTATCTGTACTGCTTAACGGTTAAATTAAAACATATTTGCAGAAAACCTCTGCCAGATGTGGTGGAAGAAATGGAAAGATTTCATCATCCATTGTTCCAAACCACAACAAATTCACCTTTTGTTCAGCTTAATCTTAATTACTGTTAATCAAAATTAACCACCCAGTAAAGTAGATGGAATTAATGAAATCGGGAGCCGAATGAATACTCTTTACCCCAACAAAAACCCTGAAACCCAAAGACGGCAGAGAGAGTTCTACAGCGAGAACGGCTTGGTGATCAGAGGAGAATCTCGAAATGGCCCCCCAAAAAACAAAAGAAATGTGTCCAGTGGGGAGGATTACATTTATGGTGCAGACAGAGACGGGATCTGAGGAGGATAACTCACAGAGAGCAGGCTTAGCGGGTAGGGAGAGAAAGAAGCAGAGGCAATCTGAATAAGGAAAAGAGCAAATGCATGAATTAGGACAATGACGTTTTATTTTTTATTGTTATAATTTTAGTTTTTATTTTCGAACACGAAATTGCTAATTATGCCAGCAATGATTTTGTAAAAATGTTATCTCCTCCAAAAAATGCCCGCGTTTTTTTTTTGGAACGGCGTGCAGCATTTTTAAATGAATTAATTAGGCGATCATAGCAATTACTGTATGCATTGTTGTTAATGAGCCCAGAGGCAAGCGAGCTGCACTCATCCAAATTACACTCACGAGGCACAGAGCCAAGAAAAGGTCCAAAACCGGAGTGTTAAACATTCCCTGAGTGAGAGCTAACCCGGAACACACGGGAACCTTCCACTCCCGCTGCTCAACACATCTTTCCCTTTATTCTAAATACAAACGCAGAGCCTCTAAACTTCACTGTTCCATCACAGCTCCACTGATCCGCCACACAGTATACATATGCACAAAGCACATCACAATCACTTGGTCTCTTTGCTCATTTTTATCATTTCACTTTGCACTTTGTCTTTCTCGGCCTTCTGTCTTAACCCCCTCTGCCAAAATCAGTGTGGCATTTACTGTCTGCATTCGGAGAAGCACAATAGCTGAGCGTTATGAGGGAAAGGTCTTATTGTCAATATGATAATTCCATCAGGTGCTGTAATCGGGTTTCTGAGTGAGTGACACGCACAGATCCCTGCTGTCGCAGAAATGCCCGTCCTTTTTGTTTGTCACTGGCGAAAATGTCAGAGCTGCGGAGTAAACAGTAGCGTGGTACCAGAGAGTGTGTAGTCTGCAAGGAGGTCAGAGCACTTTGACCCCACAGGCACACACACATTAGAGCAGACAGTGTGCGGATGAATGGATACCGTCTCTTACATTGCACATGGCCGGTATGAAACGTGCCCTTTGGTACCACTTTCGATTTTTACAATACATATACACTCTTACAACGCAATATTATGTTTGATTATAGGTAGAAGCATCCATGAGAGCTTTTATAAAGCATTTTGTTGGTGGTCAAAGATATAAATATTTGATATAGTAGCTGGTTAACCATGAAAGATCGCAGTGTGTTATTGTAATATCATTTCTCTGGTAATATATTCTTATATTCTACATTCCGATATATTTTTTATACTGCATTATAACATCATAGTTCTCTTTGTGAATCTATAAATTGCTCACTGTTTACACTTGGTAGTAGGAAAGAATCTATGAAGAACAACACCCACAACATTGTAAACTTATTTTGTCTTAATATGTGAATGCGGTTCATAGAATCTCTAAAAATAACCCATAGTTTCTCATCACATAAGAGAAAACTCCATAACATCCAGCGAATGTTCTGTCAATCGATCAATTGATCCACTTCAGCCCTATGCACATGGTGAGGGTGTGTGTGGGCGAGACAGAGAACCAATGACAAAAAGAGAATATGTTATACCTGTGCCACAGGGATTAGTTAGTAGTTAGTTTTGCAGCATGAATTCAGCACAATGAAAAAATACTAGTTTATGTGTGTGAATATGTATGTGTGAGATAATAGAAGCTCTGAGTGAAGTCTAATTGTGTGATAACATAATTTTCTTTTTTCTCGTTTGTTTTCTCCACTTTTTGCTGCATAAAAACCCCCAACATGCACTGAGAGAGGTTTGTCATGAGGCAGAGTGTGTGAGAGCAGAGTGTGTGAGAGGTGTGTTATGAGGCAGAGTGTGTGAGAGCAGAGTGTGTGAGAGGTGTGTTATGAAGCAGAGTGTGTGAGAGGTGTGTCATGAGGCAGAGTGTGTGAGAGCAGAGTGTGTGAGAGGTGTGTTATGAAGCAGAGTGTGTGAGAGGTGTGTCATGAGGCAGAGTGTGTGAGAGCAGAGTGTGTGAGAGGTGTGTCATGAAACAGAGTGTGTGAGAGGTGTGTCATGAAGCAGAGTGTGTGAGAGATGTGTCATGAGGCAGAGTGTGTGAGAGCAGAGTGTGTGAGAGGTGTGTCATGAGGCAGAGTGTGTGAGAGCAGAGTGTGTGAGAGGTGTGTCATGAAGCAGAGTGTGTGAGAGGTGTGTCATGAGGCAGAGTGTGTGAGAGCAGAGTGTGAGAGGTGTGTCATGAAGCAGAGTGTGTGAGAGGTGTGTCATGAGGCAGAGTGTGTGAGAGCAGAGTGTGTGAGAGGTGTGTCATGAAGCAGAGTGTGTGAGAGGTGTGTCATGAGGCAGAGTGTGTGAGAGCAGAGTGTGTGAGAGGTGTGTCATAATGCAGAATGTGTGAGAGGTGTGTCGTGAAGAAGAATGTGTGAGAGGTGTGTCATGAGGCAGAGTGTGTGAGAGGTGTGTCATGAGGCAGAGTGTGTGAGAGGTGTGTCATAAAGCAGAGTGTGTGAGAGGTGTATCATGAGGCAGAGTGTGTGAGAGGTGTGTCATGAAGCAGAGCGTGTGTGAGAGGTGTGTCATGAAGCAGAGTGTGTGTGAGAGGTGTGTCATGAAACAGAGCGTGTGAGAGGTGCGTCATGAGGCAGAGTGTGTGTGAGAGGTGTGTCATGAATCAGAGTGTGTGAGAGGTGTGTCATGAAGCAGAGCGTGTGTGATAGGTGTGTCATCAACCAGAGTGTGTGAGAGGTGCGTCATGAGGCAGAGTGTGTGAGATGTGTGTCACGAGGCAGAGTGTGTGAGAGGTGTGTCATTCCACAGAGTGTGTGAGACGTGTGTCATCAGGCACAGTGTGTGAGAGGTGTGTCCTTCGCTAGAGCGTGTGAGAGGTGTGTCATGAAGCAGAACGTGTGAGAGGTGTGTCATGAGGCAGAGTGTGTGAGAGGTGTGTCATGAGGCACAGTGTGTCATGAGGCAGTGTGTGTGAGAGGTCTGTCATGAGGCAGAGTGTGTGCTGCTCTCAGCCAGCAGCACGAGG